GGCTTGGCGGCTGCGGAGCGGCCTCCGGGCGGCAGGGCGGGCGGGCGGCCTCCCCCGGCATCTGCGGACAGGGGAGAGGGCATCAGCATCGCTCGGGCAGCGGCTTCGCCCGACGGCGTCCTGGGGGGCCGCGAACACCGAGGGGCAGGGGCTCGGCCTCGGCCTCGGCAAGCGGCCCGCAAGCCTTCGGGGCTGGGCGCCCAGGAACAGTTACAGCAGCAGCTTTGGTAGCGTCGGGGAACCGCTCGGGAGCAGCGGGTTACCTCCCGATAGCGCTTATGAGGGACGACTCCCGAGGGAGCACCGTGGCCGCAGGGTAACGCAACGGATGCGGCCGCCACACAGCCAGCAGTAAGGTGGGGAGGGAAGAAATGGTGCACCGAGAACAAGTGCTTGATGCCATCAACCCGCAAGCAAAGGAATCTTAGCTTTTAAATGATACAACAGTCTGGCAAAAGGCTCTTTTCAGCCCTTTCTAGTAGCTGTTATCTAAGGATGTACTTGTGCTCGTCAGGAAGAAGGCAGCCAGCCTTGCAGTTGAAGAAGTACTGTTCTGTGATGCCAGGAACTTTTGTATTAATACAAGTTCCCAAAATAAGATTGTGATGCAATAGAAAATAATACCAGCTCCGAGAGACTGTTTCGTACATGTGCTGAAAAATTACGTTAGTCTATAAAATACATAAGATTCATAACACCCTGCAACCCCCATTGCCCAGTCCCCCTTCAACAAGCGTGAAATCCTATGTCCTTAACCTTACAAAACTCACTGGCCCCAGATCGCCTTTGTTTCAAGGGGCACGAGGCTTTGGGCAGCTGTTTTGAAAAAGAATGCAGTGCAAGCCCCCAGACAAGCCTCCAGCTGCAGCCTGCGTACCAGCCAGCTGGGATGCCTCATGCGCTCCCAAAGTGGTAAATCATGCTGTTGTGGAGCTGACGCAGATGTACTTTCCATTTGGAAAGTAGATCCTTTTTCCGGGTGCACAAAGGAGAATTAACCTGGAATCTTCTTAAGCTCCCCTCTGTCCTGCACACCCACAGCTAAGGCAGGACCTAGTCTGCCTGACTGTACTTTGCAGGTAGCAATTCAACTTTGCTGAGATCTTTAGTTTTCATCAATAACTAGTAGGATGGGTGGAAAGAGGAGTCTCACTTCTCCCTTGTAAAAGCTAGTATTAAAACAAGTTTCAAGCTGAAAATTACATTTCCTAAGAGCCTATTATATTTGAAGACTTCTTCAATCCCAGCAGGTAATTTATAGCAGTGCTATGAAGGTTTTAAGCCATGTCATTTCCTTTTTCACAATGGAACTGCAAGGTGTTTCTTACCGGCATCTCGACTCGCAGCAGATCTGAGCTTTGGCATTCCTGCTTGAAAAAGGCCTCCAAGGCCAGGTGGTCCTCCACCACCGAAGCTGCCACCACCGGCACCACCAAAACCCCCGCCGCCGCTGCCACCGCCGCCTCCTCCAAAGCCACCACCGCCACCTCCACCAGGTCCTTTGGGTTCTGTTGGGAAAAAAATCCCCCACATTAGGCAGAGAACCGAGAGTGAGCCTGCAAAGTCATCTCTTTCATTAGAGCAACGCTTGTAGCTGGGGAAAAATGGACAAGCTTTCAAAATACACAAGTCCTTGTTCAGGTTGGATCATTACAGCTACCATCACCACCACTATTGCACCATGGAAGAGGTGGTGCAATAAACATAGCCACTGTATTTTATTAAGCCATCACTTTTCTTTAGCCTGCTCTGGACTAGAAAGCTGAGAAACAGTCACTATGGAGAATTTGGAACTGAGCATGGATGGGACCTCTGAAAATATCATGTCTTTGTTAGCGTCTTTGTAGCTGCTTCCCATTTCTTCATACCTTTGCTCTCTCATCCTTCCCCTCCACTTCTCCATAAGCAAACCGAGAGGGCAATCTCAGGAAATGAGGAAGGAAGGACGAAGACAGAGGTCTCCTTCCTCCTGGAGGTGTCTCTGGTGATCACTTCTGGGAAGGCACAGAACTCTGTCACTATTGATGATGTTGCAACATATCTACTTATTTAAAGCCTAGTGTGGAAAAAGATTTCATTTCTGATTACTTTCCTGTAGGTCCAGGAATGCAGTGACAGGATCATTAGCTGCTAATTTTTCCAATAGACAGGAATAATTTTATCAGCCCTCCGTTCCTCTCCCATTTCTCTCTAACGTAAATATTTCTGCTGTGACAACACTGAGATGCTGGAAGTAAAATGAAAGTGTTTTCACAGCTACAAATACAGGGAAGAGCCCTGTTCATAGCATCACTGCAAAACGAGCAGGCCCACAGGTTGGCATATCTGTGGACATCAGCTCTCAGATGATGGGCTACATGGCTGAGGATCAATTACTTAATTTCGTGGCATCCTCACTTCTACAACTTCGGGTGGGTAAAAATTTTACTGACTTCAAAGTAATCGAAACCTGTGGATGCATCAGATTCTACTTCTAATAATTCCACCCAGAAAAAAGGAGGAAGAATGTGTTCATGGGGGAATGTTTCACATCATCCTTCTCTTTTCTTAAGCATGTTAGCTCAGTTCAGTTCTGACTCACATAGGGTGTCATCCTCTGGAGAAATGCTGCTACTATGGTTTAGTCTTTCATCACGATTTGTTAATTCATGTAAACAATAGGCCGCATCATTTTAATCTTACTTTTACCCCTCCTTTAATCCCCTTAATGCTTTTCTCCAGCTTATTACAATAGCTAGAACATGTAACTTTGCTTTCAGAGATAATACTCAAGTGTTTAAAGTATCTGGCTGACTGCAGGACTGTATCTTGTTTTTTTAATTATTCTTTATTGGTCACACTCCTTTGGGCATTTCCTTCTTTCCTCATCATCTTCCTATCACAGTCCAGCCTTTAATTGCATGGCCAGACCTCGACTGAGTTGTGTCACATTTGCTAATCAGTCTGTAGAAGTGTCTTCTCTCCCTAGGCCATAAAGGCTGTTCCTCTGACGCAGCAGGCCCTTGCTCGTCGCTCTTCTCCTGTTTCTATTCTGTCTTCCCAGTGCTTTTGCTACATGGGCTTTTCCAGCCTCCTCTCAACACTTGCTGAGATGTACAGTGCACAGCTGGATGGAGACCTTGTCTCCATTCAAGTAAGTGGAGCAGCTGCCTTGTGCCAGAGCACTGCCAGGCAGGCTGAGCAACAAGGCTCAGCCAAAAAGCTCACACCCCTGAGTCACTCCAGAAGTGGCAAAACTGCGTGCAGCCATGACACACAAGTGGGGCTGTGGCTCCTGGTTCTGGTTTTGCTTTAAGTGGTACTGGGGCCATTAACAAGCCAATGGTGTCATGCCAGGGGTGCCTTTATTTTTATACTGTTTATGCGAAAGCAGAGTCTGAAATTCCACTTTATTCTCTGTGCTGTCCTCAGTCCTGACAGGGTCTTGTTTGCCTGATCTGCTGCAGCTCCTCAGCAGAGCTCCTAGTTGGGTTTGCATAGTTTTCTGATTTAAGCAAACGAGAAAATAAACTGCTTTATGAAAGTCAGCAAACAAATTAACACTCACATGTCATAAGTAATACTTGATTTCTCAGCTGACTTAATCCATGATGAACAGAATTTATTTTTATGCATGCCAGCTGCTGGCATTTTATTTTACTTACTTGTCTCATGGCAGTTCATCTGATGATATACAAAATAATTTTCTGCATTCAGGTATGTAGAACCATTCACACGTACAGAAACTCCAACATGCAGAATCATACTTACTGTCTAGAATCGGAGCACTTCTGTCATTAGTAACAGTCTTCTTTAGCTTTTTTCCTTTGGTAATATCAGATAATAGAGCATTTCGCCCTGCTTGTTCTGACCTGCTTAGGGATGGCTTTTCAGTATTTGCCTGCAAAATAAAATTAAAAATGAGAAGGAAAAATAAACCTCAACTTCTAGCTACAAAGCTCTGCTCAAATATGGTAGTTACTTGAGACCTCAATTTCTGTTCTAACAGCACTGGAGTGGGTAGCACACCACATCTGGTTTTGTGAATGATGTTATAGGTAGCCGGCCTTGCTACTGACTTGAGGCCCCAAACACTGCTGCTATTCTAACCCACACTACTCACTGGAAACAGAACAGTTTTATCCGAATTCACATTTTTTTTAAACTCAAGATTTAGAGTCTCTGATCTTTTAAAGCCAAGGTACATCTGTAGCAAATTGCCATTTTGGAGACTGAACAAGAACAGACTACACACATAATTTGATTACACAAAAAGGTGGACATTCTTGAAAGTTGTAGTGAAAGTTCCTAATATACAAATTCTGGATAAATCAGAAGAAAGATGGATCTTTATCTACTATTTTAGTTTTGATAGAAATACTTTAAAATGGCAATCACCACTTCAACAATATAGACCTCTTCAAATAGACCCAATAAAACCTTTAGATGCATAAGGTTTTTCTCAATGGTCCTCTTTTTCAGTTTGTTTTGGTGACACAGTTTTCAAGGAAGAACAAAAAAACCCTCCCAAACATACACATATATGTGCACGTGCGCGCGCGCGCACACACACACACATATATATGGTTATTTCTTCTAGGAAATGGTTGTTCCTGAAAAGCTTTCTAACTTAGCAGATCGGTGTTATGGAAATTTCCTGAAAGGTGGTGAGAGGTGCCATGGAGGGACCAAGCACAGAGTCTGTATCTTGCTTGTGGTGGAAAATGAGGGAAAGACTCTTCAGCGGCACAGCCCGACCTATCTGTGCAACCAGCTAGGGTTTTGCTATGAAAATATCTGAGTACTTTACAATGGCATTTCAAGAAGCCTTTTTCTTTCTTGTGAGGTGAGGTGAGGATCTTTCAGTGAGGTGACTGACTGTTGGAGGGCAGACACAGCACAAACTCTATTTCGTCTTAGGCTGACTTAGGTCCAATGTAGTCTCACCCACCATGCTGTGCCAGCAGTGGATCCTGTGCTTATACCACAGGCTGGCCAAGGCAGCTATGCTGGCTATGAACTATCCTTACCAAATCTAAACAATAGGATTGATTTTTTCCAGCTCGGGTCATGTAAGTACTAGAGTAGAACAAGGGAGAAGGTGGGAGTACATGGCTGGAGAAAGGCAAGGGGAGAGCACGACTTCAATTCTCCTGACTTAGACAAGCTGTTGAGGAGCTGTGCCTCGCCACCCAGGATCCTTACACCAGATCAAACCACCAGTGTGGGAGGAAGAGGAGGAGGGAGAGTCAATGTGGCTAGTGACATCCATATGGGCACTGGAAGGGAGTGGAAGTGATAGTCCCTCTTGTAGGATCAATTATCAACCATAAACAAAATGTCAGAGAGCTTTCCCCAAATATCATGCATACCCTTGTCCACACCTCAGAGCCTCTGGACATCCCGCTCAATATGACAAGCAGCAACAGAGGACAGTGTATATGGTACATTTACCTCCTGTAAAACTTACCAAGGCCAGAGTTGGGGGGGGAGGGGGAGCTGGAGGGGGAGGCACGGGCATGATGGAAGGCTGAGCTCCGTCTGGTCTTGCTAAGAAACCTGTATAGCAAAACACAGAAACACACAAGGCCCAGAGATTAATACATCTTAATAAATAAATTTCTACTCCGCTAAAAAACATCCTTGCAGCTAACAGGTTTATCTGCTACGTTTTCTAAGTCTAAATAGTCTGTAAAAAGCACTTCATGTTTCATTGTATGGAAACCAGCTGCATCCTTAAACAGGGGCTCCCTACACGATCCCCATTGCCATACAAACTCACAGAGATACATATCCAGTTTTGCACACATACGCAACCCATGCATTGCTATGGCAATGCACAAAAATGCAATCTTGTTCCTGTGGAAGTACTTGAGGATAATCCCATAGCTACACCATCAACCCTCACTTCAAGAAGGCATCATCTCTTTAAGATCATACTCAGAAAGAGATGCTGACCTTTTAAAGCCCTTAAATTGCTTGAAGATAGACACACACGCGCACACACACACACAGTTATGGGTAGGGTAGAACGGCAGAACTCTAGGAAAGACTCATGCTTCTTCCTTTCTCCCTGCTCGCTCCGAAGACTCCAAGCGCCATCATCACCTCTGAATGCACCTTCCTCCTCCTCAGGAGCAGCTCACACAGCCTTGCTCTGTGCACTTTCCCAGAGGAGGAAGAGCAAGCAGGCAGCCCAGCCTCTCAGCCACAGGCTGCTGCAGAGGGAAAAGCCTGGCTGCCAAAGCTCGGGCTTCCCTGCTGGAGACCAGGCTCCTGTTTTTCCCCACCCCAAGCAGAACTTCCAACCTAGGGCAATCCTAGGAGGGTCACACCTGAGATGTAGAACTTCATTACAACAAAAATATTAAACGATAAAAAAGAAAGGACAAGCATCGAGGAATTTTTTTCAAGTCACAAGGGCTTTTTGTGGCATTTTGGCACACTGCTTGCTAGAACTGTGCCTATCGGAGGCTCCAGGGGTTTTCTAACGGGGCTGTGGCATTTCAGGATGTGCTTTGCTCTTGCCCGTTCACCTGAGCCAGCTTTAGTAACAGTGATAGTGATTTGCCACCATTTATATAATGGTTGCACAAGACAGGCAAACACAATGGGAATAGGAATAAGGGTTATTCTCCAGACAACCCTAGGCTGATGGCCAAGTTCCCCAGGGCAGTTATTTACAAGAATACACAGCTCTTACTTTCTGAAGTCACTTAATTGTTTTTGATAAAACCAAGGAGAAGCGTAATAGCACAGTGTCTGCCAAATCAACTTCATGCTAGGCACACTACCCTTTACAGTTTAAATAAGCATTAGGAAAATGTTCTGAATGGAACAAAGTGACATTTGCAGTGAGGGTTTGAGGTGAGTCACCACCTACAAAGCCTGTAATGGCTCTGAGATGATCCATGATATGTGTGTGAGGAAAAAAATGCTTAGAGGTACAGATTTATCTCATCAGATGCTCATGCTTCAGAAGAATTAGAATACAGCTATAAACCCCTCCCCCCAAAAAACCAAACCAACCAACAAACCTGCTGAGCTACCTTTCTCAGAAGAAAGCTTTTCTGAAATAAGACTTTGATGGATTTTGTCTAAAGTCTTTAGGGACCAAGGGTCTTGGAAAGGAGTTGGACACATCGCCCCTCGCTCTGTCTGACTATCTAGAAAAAAACGTGGAGTTCAAAGTGGCGTGAGGCACTACCACTGTCTCTAGTGTTTGCAGGTTTTCTTCTCCTGTACTGCAGAAACTGTTTCTCTTTCCGGTTACTGTGAAAGAGCAAGCAGAGCAGAGGGGAAGCTGGCAGATGGACAGACTGACTGACAAAAAGGAAACTGTGCGAAGCCAAGCCTGTGCAGTGCTGCGCAAACACATGCGTTCGCACAGTCCTGCAAATGGACCAGTGTGCTCTCATCCGTCCTCTGGTGCGTTACTGCGCATCTGAAGGCGTCTCCCGAGAAGCACCAGCTTCACATTCAGAGGATCTGCTTGAATTCAGTTATATTCCTGTCTTCTGTATTTCTAGCTCTCAGTCGTTACATAAAACTCTGCACAAAGCCCTATCATTTCCCGATCTGTTTATCCTAAATGCAATATTTGAAATCTGAAGCCTATTAAAAGCACCAAGACTAATGCTGCTTTGTTCTTCAGCTTCCTGTTTAAAAAAATAGTCAACAGGAAAATTATTTCTTACAGCAGACCACAACCATCCGGTTTCTTAACACAGTCTTTTCACAGCTGCAGTTGTCTCTAGCATAACTGTGCCATTAGGCTATTTCACCAAGCTTTTAACTCCTTCAACTGATTAAAAAGAGAAAGAGAAATTCTGCTCTCTGCACTGCTTTGATAAGAGGCCAAAGCAGTCTGGATAATGCACCGTGAGTCTCCTCGACATTCCATGTGCCATGGGAAAGTTTCTGGAGCAGGCAGAATAAAATTTGGGTTGATATCAGACTTTTAAATGAATTCCTTAAGGCAGCTCAGACCTGAATGCAGCAAGTGAGCCAGCTGGTCTGTGAAGCGCTTTCTCTAAAAAGCAGTATTTTTACAAATGCCATAACTCGTCTACCTCCCTGTCAGTTAAGTGATTGCTTTCTGCATGCTTGTGGTGGTCTGGTCTACTTTTTTTTCCTTTTAACTGGGCTGGTTTAGATCAGCTTCTTAAGGAATTGGTGGGGACAGAGGGGAAGCAAGGTATCACTCGAAGCCTGAGTTCTCTAAGGGGAAGCCACCATGCATGAACACATCCAGCCCCTCCAAAATCCTCCCTGCACACATTATTTGCAAGGAGGTAAGGGGGAGAAAGGCTCTGGGTGCCCCCTCTTCCGCTATCCCATATTCCAGAGGGATGACATCCTCTGATTTACCTGTAGTCACCAGTGGCACACTAGCTAGTACCTCTTCTGGTACTGAAGGGCTTTCTCAACAGGACCGGAGTGGAGATTAAGTACACAGCTGCACACTGTGAACTTAGCATTTAGCTACTGCTGAACAAGCCCTGTAACCCCCAGGGCAGTTAGCAGGGGGGTCTGGAAAATGGCATTTTGGAAGCACAGGACAAGCTTCTGTAATAGGCCAAACTCAGGCAGAACTGGCTTGAAGTTTAATGCAAGCATCCCACAGAGTTGTTTACTCATGATGTTCTAGAGCACAACTTCCTTTAGGAGCCATCAGAAAAAAGATCATATGGCATGACTCAGAGACCTGTGTGCCCGCACACAGAAGTATAATGCATACACTTACAGAGCCAGTAAAACACCCTAGTTTGTAAAATTTTAGCTTAAAACGTAAGTTATGATACTACTTCACTCTTTCTTTTGTCACACTCTGACTCTGCTTCTGCTGCTGAGAAAGAGAATTTCAGAAACTCAAGCTGAAACTTTGCAGCAAGAAACAGCACCTCTGTCTTTGAAGCTCTAACTCCCTCTTGCTGCTCAGTTGTTAGATTTTGTACAATCTATTTCTTTGACTTTTTGTAAGCAAAAAAAAAAAAGGTGCTCTCTGGATTTTAAAATTTGATCACCATAAGCCTGTAGGAAGAATAATAATGTACTTGAAGAGATGCAGCGACCTGGGGGCTTGCCCACACAGCACAGGGCAGTGCTGGGGCTGACCCTTGGGATGAGCAGCACCTCTGGGGCTGCAGAACCAAAGCAGCTGAGTCAGCACAATGCTGAACTTGAATTCTGCAGCTGCTTTGTTCATCACTAATTCACAGGATCACTGTTTTGCACAGAGCATAGAGATGTTCTAAGATGTTAAGTGTAACTCTGCAATTAGAGGAAAGCTTTGGTTACTGTCCTACACTTCAGCAATCGACTCAGTTCATTATTTGCTTTTGGTCAGTGGGAAAGAGCCAGATTGAAGAAATGGACATTATGTTCAATTGCTAACAGCCGACACTATAAAATACCTAAAATAGTGACTGATCCACCCAGTAATAAATTTTACCTACCAAATCTGTTAACAACCAAGTTGCTGATAACACTCGGTGCTGCAGGGTGTTGAAAAGGAACCAATTTGAAAGGACCAAGGCTGAAGGCATATCGGTACTTTGAAAGCCAGGACACATGCCCTTGCATATTTTCTAGGCAGTAGTGTAAATTATAACAGCTTTTGAGAAGCTATATGGAAATGTTATATCTAGACGAGTATTGGTGGTGCAACAGAAAGGATTATGCTAACTAACCCACACACGTACACCGCAGCGTCGGCCCTGGAGCCCCAACCAAACACAAAGGTCTGTATTGTCAGCAAGAGAGAAGGATTTCCACAGCTGGCAGCAGCGTCGGCAGCTGCTCTCCCACTGCGAGGCAGGCGCCAGCAGCACCACGCACGCTGCCGTTTCCTCCGGAGGTCCAGCCCTGATCCGATCGGGGCTGCCATCGCTGTGAGCAGGCAGCCCACCGCAGCCCTCACGCCTGCTCTGCACCGCCTCCGCCACAACCCCGGTGCCAGGGCAGCCTGCCTGCAGACCACGGGCAACCTTCTCGAGAGGGGTGTGCGCGCAGCCGGCATCTGCCGTCTTTTAAGAAAGTCACGCCAGCCGCTAGCCAACGAGATGCCCCAGAGCTGCCCGCCTCATCCCAGGTAAATCATACGATCCGAGCTGCGCAAGGAAGCTCTGACTTTTGCAAGCCACAAGGCACACCCGGCAGTCGCTATCAGAAAAGGTATTAAAACGCTACGATACGCGACGCATCACGGCAAAAATGAATTTCATTTAAAAACCAAAACAGAGGAGAGAGAAAGTATACGTTGCATTCTGCAAAGAGCCCCTTGCAAGGTGAAGTAATCAATGAAGAGCAATAAGCAAAAGTGGCACTAAACTGAATTCCGTCAAACACAAATTCTGGGCATTTCAGATCTAATTTGGTACTTCAGAAATCACTTCAGGAGCATTACAAATGCTAAAAAGAAATGTGACGTTTAACGCGGGGTGGACAGTGCGAACAACTGGACTGCAAGTGCGCTGTTTGCATCTAGTCAGCCATTTTGAGCTGCTTCGAGGTGCCCCTCTTAAACACATTGAGTCAGAGGCAGACGGCTCGCTGCG